AAGAGTGGTCGAGGTCGAAAACTTGGATCCATTGTTGGAGCTGCCAGTCATTGTCCGTACTCCCGACCCACCGTACCCCTTCTGATAGCTCGAAAAAACAGGGAAATCTCAAAGGAGAAGAGGCCACTCGTTTCATCGTATCTATACCCATAAGTGAATATGTCAATTTTTACCAGAGCATCGGAGGACCTAGTACGTTCGGCTTTTCGTTGAAAGGAATATGCATCGCGAGCCAACTAACCGACGCCAGTTAAATGCCTTATACTCTCACGGAACTGTGAGGTTACTTTTCTTTGCGCATAAGCCTTGGCCGAACTGCCCACCTTTCGTTCGAGCATTCTTGCACTTATAGACGACCGACAGTGAAAGTGTTAATAGAATGCAAGTGGCTCCAATGAGCGCGAATGATCCCTCTCAGCCACTGAGAATCCTTAGCTTTGGTTCGTATTATCATCATAATTTCCTATTGGGGATAGTGCTGACATGACCCTCGGCAATTTCTTCTCGATGGAAGAGGACCAGGCTGCTACTCTCAACTGATCACCTTGCACGAAATAACGAGCCGATGGAGCTTTGGCCTCAAAATCGAAAGCGACGATGTCCGCCCAGCAGACTATTTCGACCAATGGGTGGCGTCGGATTCAAGGCGTAAGTAGTGAACCACCGCAAGGAATGTACACTAAGTACGAAATCAAAGCTTCAATCCAATTGTCCTGGGGTATCTTAGACTCACACCGAAAGAAGCCATACGGGTCCTGAACGCTCGATCAACTGAGCCACTACAAACCAATCTTCGCTAAATATGCAATGCTCAGTAGCCATTATCTCATCCAGAAGGAATGTAACTCCGCTCTTGTGACTGCATTCATTCAAGTTCAAGGACGACTATCAAGTCAAACGTCCAGGTCAAAACCACCACATACTATTTGAGGCCAGCCCGGGGCGACACGCGTAGCAACGGAATCCATTATCATGCATCTCGCTTTGAAGCTACAAAATTGGCCAGGAAGGCCTGTGGTGATATAGGTTATTGGGTCGCGTTTGCTTTGTCAGAATGCGGTAGTATGTGAGTAGACACCTTTATTGCCGGTTGCAATTGAATTGGCCGGCCCGCCTTTTTTGACAACAAAGAAAAAAGTTATCGACCGCTCCTCACTCGTTTGACCACATTTTCAAATGATAAAAACTGCTTTAGAATCGGTGAGTCGCGCGTTTTTCGTTCGTATTCTTCATTAGTTCGTCCGCTGACATCCTGCAACCGCCAGCAAATCTCTTGTTTGGTCGCGCGTACATCAAAAACTGGGGCAA